TACACCTCGAATAGCACAGATGGGGGGCAGGGGCCGAGTAAAATACATGTACCAGGGAGATAGCAGACGGATTCGACAAGGCAAGAGGGAGACCTTGATAGGACCCAGGGAAGGACTACGTAACAATATTACAGACTCTGGTCAACATTCCCACCACAAGGGTGAAGGGGGTTATAACGAATTGCGAGACTTACTGACGATGCCAACTACGATGCCGGCGAAACGTCTGGGAATGTACCACGTTAACAGTCCTACTCTGGGAATGATGATGCATACAATGGACTCCGGACAAGGTCAGTTCCTCTAAGTCTTCCTACCAACATGACCGAGTTACGAAAACAGGCTCAAACAACTTCTAAGCAATACAGTTAGTATAAAAATGGACCCCATCTTTGAATTAACATACAAAATTGCCATGATTATTTGAGTTAGACGAATGCCAGTATAAAGCAAAATGCTATGGCACAACAGTATGGATAAATTATAAGTACAGACCCTATTATTTTGGCATATTGTGGTCAGGTTAAAAAGCAAATCAAAAAAATTAAAATTATTGAAAATAATACAAAATTATCAGTTTTTGAATTGAGGAAGGAAATGAAAAATAATTCAGTGAAAAAATGACCAGAAGGATGCACCTTGAGTTTAAATGAACTAGACCTGTAATAGGCATATTTAAGCATGAAGGTTTTTATTACACATTAGGAATTAAAGAATAAACTCATAGTCGGAGGTGAATAATAATGGTCGTAAAAGAGGCTTACGGTCCTAACGAGTAAAATAGTCAGAAAAATTATTTCAAGATAACATCTAAAAGAAATGATTTATAAAAAAACATAAATTAGCTTTTAATTGTGCATTGCCCTAGGTCTTCATTGACCCTTAAGGCAATCAGGTAATATTTTAATAGGGCGTTGAAGTGAATGAAGTATGGATATTCCTATTGTCATATGTTATTTCAGCAATGCACCATCAGACACAAGCAAATTTTTGCTAGGAGTTGAAGTGATAATTTATACAAGCCATTAGAGAAACAAAGGTGAGCAAATTAACCAGATTTAAGAACAATGTGATAAAGTAGTGCTTTCCTTCACGTGACATAAGCCCGGATAAATAAGTCAGAAAATGGTGGTAATTAAAGATCTTTAACTTGAGATATTCACAAAAACATATATCTTTTGAAGTAAAACTTTGTGGCATCAAACAAGGTAAAAAAATATACTAAACATTGGTATGGCCTACCTCATTAGTGGAATATAATAGATGAGGCTACAAACTCAGTCTAAATAAAAATTTGGTAAAAAAACTATTTATGGAGAAGATTAAGCTTTAAAAAGAAAAATGACACACCTTTTCCTTTGGCAAATGGACAGCAGTGGTAAATTCCGACATTGTTTTTTTGAAGCCCAAAGAGGCAAGAACTTCAGAGGGAACTGCACTAGAAACTGTAGCCTCAGCGGTCGTAATGGAGGTGTCCAAAACGTCCCCTGATAGAGTCCGAGTGGCCTCAATATGAGCCCAGGTGTCCCAGAGTTGTCGGGTGAACTCAGCCTGCAGCTGAGCGAAGCGCAAACGCTCTCGACTGAGCTTGCCTACCAAATCGTTTCGGTGATGAATGTATTCGCCGGATAATATTATTGGTGGGTGTTGTGAAGGTTGATTGTGATGGTGCCGACAAGAAGATTGAAAACGCTGCTGCTGAACTGAAGAACCACCTAGAATATTGGCTATAACGATAAAATGACAAGTGAGGAGTTAAAATAATAGGACATAAGAATGGATTTGAATTAAATGTACATTGCATATACGAAGAAAATATGAAGCGTGAGATAGAATGGTCTCGTACACAGAGGTTTGCTAATTATGGT